ACCGTGATTAAATCACTCGCAGTGTTCGACATTCAGCCGAACCAAGGTCTCGTTGGTTCACGGTCGCCATTGAAAACATAGCCTAAATCGTCAGCAACAACATGGCCTACCGTCCGTTTCGTTGACTGACCACCAGTTTCGGGTTTTTCGAGCGCGCAGTAAACCGTGTCTCGAATAGCAGACAGTCCTTGAACGTAATCCAGTCGCGGAGAGCAAACATCGAAGCAGAAAGGAAGGCAGGATGACGTAACGCGGTAACTCGCGAACCTACGGCCGGTCTCGCAATAAAAGCGGGCTCGCGCATGCGTGAGTCACTCTTTCGCGGTTTGCGAGAGCACCGTCACGGAAAGTTGTGCGACTTCGGCCAGTTCATCGTTTAAAACTCGGTAGGTGTAACGTCATCCGTGAGAGTTAAACGAATCGACGAGGTTCGATCGTTTCTTTCTCGACTTTAGAAATCCATTTGATAACAAGTACGTTTGAAGGCTGATCGTTCGGTACGATAAGTTAAGTTACAAGGCTGCGATAGCTGATCGGGAGTAGAGTGATTGTCACGGAACGACTATCGACGCGGAAGTTGATAAATGGCAGATAAAGTCATTACAATAGAAAGTAGTATCGCCAACGGTGAAGTGTCGAGTGAGGGAAAAAATAATTGTTCGCGTTTTCATACTGAGGATTCAGGTCCTTTGGAGTCGGTATCGTAGAGAGTATTCAATTATGAATGTTCGGGGAAATTTATGGACAAATTTTTGTTCGTATACAGAGTTTTAACCCTTTGCACTCGAGAGGCGCCCTTCAGTCGCCATTTGATAAAATTTCGAAGCTCGATATTAATTAATATAGCAAATTTAAAATAATATAACAGTGTGCGAGGTATCGAAATTAAATAATTCTACGTATTACATATTATACGATTTCTTATTTACTCCTCAAAAAATATTATCAGCTTTATAGCAGAAAATTCTTCAACTCGTACCCTTCTTTAGCCAAAAAATCGTCGAGGGCAAAGGGTTAACACCGGTTCTATCGATCTGTAATGTATAGACGATTATATTTCGAATGGTAGAAGGGAAATAAATAAGTGTACATGATTATGTTCCTATCTCGATAGAAGTAATTTTAGTACAAGCATCCGTATATTTTCAGTAATTTCAAAGACAGGAAGTTAGGAACTCTGATATTTCAGTTTAATAGTTGTCAATTATGTATTTTTGATAGTTTTTGATTAAATATGGGAGAATAATATGAGTCATATCTGAATCGTAGAATGTGAATCATATCTGTAATAATGTTTTATATTCGAAAGTTTTCTTTTACTATAGGCAAGTAATAACTCGAAGCTTTCCTGCTATAAAATTGATAAAATTTGTTACTATACTTAATAATATAGATAGATAGAAGTTGATAATATAGAAAGGAATTTTTACTTCAATGTTTGATTTTAATGTTTCGTGTATTGGTATATTATTTTAAAATATCATTGACATTAGTATTAAAACAAATGGCCTCTCATTTGCAAAAGGTTTAACCCATTTATAATTCGTATTTTTACTTTATATCCTTTATTTATCAATTTTATTTGAACATCTGAAAACGTAATTTCGTAATTTGTAATAACAAAATGGAGTTAAAGGAATGTTAAATACGAGTTTCAGGAGAATTGAAAGCTTTTGTGAATGACGTAAGAAGTAGACTATAAGGAATTTAGCTCTGAAAAATGAAAGGCGAATGAAATTTTCTCCTTTACGAATTGTGTGGCTATTATGTATCTGTTCGCTTTAAAAATAATTATCTTACATACCAAATTTTGTCGTAAGAATTACTTCGATGTACAATGACTCGTGTCACTATTGAAACACTTAAGTAAAAGCATTTAAACTTTCGGTTTTATAATAATTATGTTCAATGTTGTAAGAATAAACAAAATATTGCATGACAAATGAAAATATTAGAAAATATTCGAACACGACGTATTTTCGAAATATTAAAAATTGAAAAAATTGTAGGATATATCTCAATTATTATTTAAAAGTTATTGTTATCATTCCAAAGTTTAAAATATAGAATAGAAAAGTAAAAGTATTTCATTTGATGAATTCGTCGAGAATTCATTGGAAAATCGATAATTTTTTTTAATTTAAGTAAGTGTACTGCAGCAGATATAATCATGAGGACGTGTCGAATCAATACCTTAAAAGGGATGGTCAGAGATACTTGATGACCAAGCAAAAAACATTGTGAGAAAAATAAAAACGGATAAAACCAGTATGGTTCAAGAATATCTACTGTATGATCGAATAAAAGTGTTACATTCACGACCATAGTCGCTGCTTTTAAATTACATACAGATAAGTAAATGTATCATATTTATTATAATTTTAATAACAGTCACTATACATATAGGAAAATAATTCTCATTGCGAAATTTAACATGTAGGATTATTATTTTAAAAATGAACAGGTATATAATTAATATTCTGTATTGCGTCTATCAAATATTCTTTTTAAGATTGATATCAAAATTACTATAGATTCATATTTTTCATCGAATACATTATCTAAAGGGCATAGATTTCTGTATTGCATAAAAATATTTTTTTTCCTACTTAGCACAGTTAATCTTGATTACTCTGTAGTAAATAGTAGACTAACAATAAAGTGTTAAACTTAATATGTGAAATAGGTATTTTGAAAAATTATTTATTTATTTTTCTATTTATTCTTCACGAATTGCAATTTCTTAAAGGGAAATATTTAGTACGTTTTAAAAGGAAATATTGTTCACTTTATAATATGGTTTACGTTAGAGTAAAATTGATTGTTAAAGTCACACCAACAATTTATTGCATGGCCATTACAAATTTTAATTTTTACTAATCGAAGATAATAAATGCAGACATGCTTAAATTGCCCTTTTACAATCATAAATGACATGTAATATTTACAATAAAATTAAAGAACAATAAACAATATAATCGGCCCGATATATAAATATTTCGCATAATTATTTATGCAAATAAATATTATCAGTTGAAATAAATGATAAATATTTACCTCAATTGGTAACGTCAGAATGTTCCATCAACCACAACGATTTAGGTTAGGTTCTGAATTAGGTTACTCGCTTTTAATCGGGTTAAGTAATGCAATTTTAGTTTGTATTCTGTATTTTACTCAACAAAGACAACTAATTACATTCTAATTATAATATAAAATAAAGAATACAAAATAAAATTAAATAACTTAAACCAAACTTAACCTAAATTTTTGGTTTACCAATCGAGAAATTTGGTTGATTGATTGAAGATCAAAAACAAAATATTGACAAAGATGTAAAATCGAAATATTTTATTCACATAATACTACTGCAAATATCATCATAATGACGTACAAAACCATCATCGACAAATTACTATACTTTATATCAGATTGGTTAATAAGTAGTGCCGAATTTTTGCAATAGATGGCCTTGTCTTGTTTTTCAATACAAAACAGTGTTTTTAACGCATTAAATATGATAACACGTTAATTAGAATTATACTACTACCTTTATGATGGTAAAAAATTCCAAATTAATGTTCAATGGAACTTTTTTCACAAATCGTCATCGCTAATGACTCGAGAATCGATGCTACATAAAATTATCGACTTTTTTTATTTTAAAGAAAATGGCCACTATTTTATACCAGTAATAAGAATATCGATATTATATTTTGACCAACCTAATACTAACAATAGGATTACCAACTTAAAATGTGTAAATAAATATTATACCTAAATAATTATACATTAATTATACATTATACATACATAAATAATTATACAATAATTATACATTAAATAATACTATCTAATGAAGATGAATGGATACCTACAGGGTGTTCCACAATAACTGTTATTTGATATGACTACTAAACATATGATGGAATAAGTGACTACATTTTTATCATAATTTTTTATGAAATGTCAGTGTAACATTCTACATAAAAAATGATAATAAAAATGTCTTCACATTTTTGTTATATCAAACAACTGTTAGCATGGGACACCTTGTATAATAATATATCAACTAGTCATTTTTATTTATTTGGTAGTTCTAATGTTAAATTACAAGACAAACCAGTCTTCTTAAACTCAAACCTATTGAAAACTAATCTATTTAAAAAGTTATTTTGACACTCTATGAACAGATGTCATAATATGCAAACTATAATATTCAATAATTTGTTACGTACTCTATAGACTGTTATTTCTTTACTTACACTTATTATACTTCGTTTACTCGTCTATGTAAATGAAGTATAATTTTCGTTCATAAAGGGTAAATCCACATCTATATCTTCCGAACTTGAGTTTCAAGTAACCATATCAACTTGCTCACGAAAGTATCTGAAAGCATAGACCACTTAAAAAGGTATCAATGTGTCCCAAACTTTTGACAACTGAAATACGTAATAAGCTGGCCTCGGTCTTCGAAAATAATACTGTACCCAAGTTAAAACACACATAATTCCAAGCAAAACTCTATTCCATTGACATCATTCATCAATTGTTAGCTATTCCAGGTAGTGGTGGGAGTAATGAAATAAGGATGGGGATTTTGAGCATGTATTGGTGGAAATCAAGGGGTCGGTAGACCCCTTTACCAAATTTCATAATATCCATATACAGAGATTCACAAATACCCTATTCTCTGTCAAATAATAACACCTCACTCTGATCCTGACAATATATTCCAGTGACGTATTTCCTAATCTGAACAATCACTTTTTATCCCGAATTTTCCGAGCTCGTAATTATTTCCCAAGATTCGAACCCAGCTCACGCATTTCACTGATCGAGAGTTCGGGACTTCAAATACTCTCCGTGAACTGCAAAGTCCACTTTAAACTCCCGCGTCATCAACATCCGCCATGATCCCTGTACCCAAGCGCGAGAGGTCTCTCGAAGCGCCTGACGAGGAACTCGGATGAAAAGGGATATGTGTGACTCCGCAGCACCAGAGACATGCAGCACAACGAGGAGGAAAACACCGTCCGCATGTACCTGCGGGGACGACCCGTCGTCCTCTACGTTCCGACGCCTTTGATGGAGTCGTACGACCTTCACAAAGTCAGCACTCCGCCCCAGAGCAAACTGAAACTCGACTGGGTGTATGGTTACCGAGGCAGGGACTGTCGAAGCAATCTGCATCTACTGCCGACTGGCGAGATCGTTTATTTCGTCGCTGCTGTGGTCGTCTTGTACAACATGGAGGAGCACAGCCAGAGGCATTACCTGGGTCATACGGACGACATCAAATGGTTGGTTAATTGAATTCATGCGGATCTGCTCCGTCGATCTTAATGATCGTGCGGAACTAATAGCGACTCTGGTCCTTTCTTTTTGGCTACATTTTCGGCTGATGGATTGTTGATTAATTGAATCTGTGTGTGGAACGGGACTGTTTGATCAGAGGAGACAGGACGATGTAGTTGTGATCCGGAGATTAGAGAGGATGAGAACAAGTATTGCTCTGAATTTTGCATAAGGAGAGTTAGGGGTCTATGAGTCTATTTAGGTGTTTGAGGACGATTAGAGAGTGATTCGAGAACTTTTAGGGGTTTCTGAACTCAGTGAAGTGTTTGAAGATAAGAACAAAAATGTTTCTCAGTCTTACATGGAAGGAATTAGGGAACTATGGATTTAGTTGAGTGTTTAGAGACCATTAGGGAGCTTTTTGGAGGGTTTCAACTCGGTAAAATGTCTAAGAATGAGAACAAGTGTTTCTCTGAATTTTGCATAAGGGGAGTTAAGGAACTATGGATATATTTGGGTATTTAGAGACGATTAGGGAGTGATACGAGGACTTTTGAGGTTGTCTGAACTTTGCGAAATATTTGAAGATGAGACCAAGAGTCTCTCTTAGCCTTGCATAGAGGGAGTTAGAAAACTATGAGACTATTTAGGTGATTGAAGACTATTAGAGAGTGATTCGAGAACTTTTAGGGGTTTCTAAACTTATTGTTAGTCAAATGTTTGAAGATGAGAACAAAAATCTCTCTCAGTCTGACATAGAGGGAATTAGGGAACTATGGATTTCGTTGAGTGTTTAGAGACGATTAGGGACCTTTTTGGAGGGTTTTAACTCGGTGCAATGTTTGAGGATGAGAACAAGTATTTCTTTAAATCTTGCATTAGTGGAGTTGGGGAACTATGATTATATTTGGGTGTTTGGAGACGATTAGGAAGTGATACGAGTACTTTTGAGGGTTTCTGAACTTTGTGAAATGTTTGAAGATGAGAACAGGAATCTCTCTCAGTCTTGCATAGAGGGAGTTAGAGAACTACTTACGTATCTATTTGGATGTTTGGCGGCGATTCGAGAGTAATTTGAGAGTTCTTCGTGTGTTTCTGAACTAGATTTAACGTTTGTTAATTGAATTTTGTATAGACAGAGTGAGAAAATGGATTTTTCTGAATCTTACACAGAAGGGGTTGGGGATCTTTGGATCTACAGTGGTTTTATTTGTTGTTATTATACTCTATACTCTTATATTTAATTATTATAATTATACTCTTTACTTTATTTGTTCGAATTTTCATTTCATTAACGTATTTTTATACTATACTCGATATTTTTTAGCATCGCTATTCACCCAAACAAGCTGGTAGTCGCTACTGGTCAAGTGTGTGGAACAGATAGACGAGACGCCATGGTAAGCACTTAATTAGATTAAGATTTACAGTGAATCACGCAAGCATTCGTGCTCCTCCAACTTTCGGTATTATACAATTGCTATTCTCTCATGATATAAATTTTAAAATTTTCTACTTTGATAGTGTATATCATTCCATAATGGACGTATATCATTATCGTGTTAATACTCAGTTATTATACTTAGCACCATTCCAAAGCAGTAATATTTTAACAAGCAATTTGATATCTAAATTATTATAATTATTTTTATACTTTTATTAAAATAATGACATATTTCTAAATTACACTAGTTATATATTATTCTCATATGTTAATTAACATGATATTCAATAATACAATATAACATGACACGATATAAATAATACTATGGTATTCAAAGTCGAAAATTTGTTTATTTATTAAATCCTGATATCGATTAGCTTATGTATTCGATACTGTATAAATTTCGTCTTTAATATAAATCGACTATAATAAAGAATAATTTTTCACTTTCTCCAAAAATTTATTTATTTGATTCCATTCTATTTTCAAAAAATTAGGAATCGAAATTAAAAATTATTGCAAATACAGTAAATTGACATGCACTGTTACATTGATTATGCAAAAGCAGCTATACTTTTCTCTTTCCCATATTTCCAATCTATTTACTATTCACAAGAAAAATACTAATTAATTGTTAGTTAACGTAATCATTCGGCACCGCAGGAAAATTACGTTCCTTTGAAATCGACAGTTAAGGAAGCACGAATACTTCTGCGATTTACTGTGCTCGCTGGAACAGGTGTGTGTAACGTGTAAATTTGTCTCAGCCACACATAAGGATATGGAATTCAGTCAGTTTGACCACCCTTTGTGTAATTGGCAACGGCGAGTTCGATGGCTCGATCTGCTGCCTCTCGTTCTCGAAGACAGACGGTGGGAATTACTTGTGTGCTATCGACGAGACCTCTGATCACAACATCTCGATCTGGGATTGGCAGAAAGGCGAGCGAGGTACTAAGGTGACCGAGACAAAGGTATGTCCTAATTAACGTACTTACTGCCAGTGGCCTTGCAATTAATTGGGTTTACAAAGCTCGATAGTGCTCTCTATAAACGTATCAAAGATTCCATCAACATAGTTATCTGAAAATTCAGATACGCGAATGTAATATAGCACAATGTGTCTCCTTACTACAATGTCCTTATTTTAATTTTTTAATTTAATTTCGAGTAAATTTTTCATTTTAATTGATTAATTTAATTCACTAAATATATTAAAATATTAATACTATAATTTTAATATGATATTATAATATTTTAATTTATTTATTTTAAATTGATATTATGGTATCAATGATTGCTATCAAACTAAGAAAAATTGGTTATTGTGTTAGATATTTCGACTATTAATCAGAAACAAATTATAATTCGAAAATAATTTGAATTTCGAAAACCGATTTAACGACTAAAATTTTATACGATCTATGCTATAATTTTACGATGATATGTAAATAACACGAAACTAATTAATTAATTAATATATCAAAATTACAATTACCCAACGAATATCGTAGTAAAATAATTCTACCTCTTAATTTGCATACGATTTCTTATTCACCGTTTTAGAAATATCGTAAAAAGACTTTATGGCAGAAAGTCTTCGAATTATTATTTTCCTGTAACGAAAAAATCGTCGAGTGCAAAGGGTTAATTGTATTTTTTCACAGCCAACTTCACACTTAAGCTGCATTGTCATTATATATAATACCTTGATAGCTAATATAACAAGACTCGTTTCTGACAAAATTTCTTTGATTTTGCCAGAAAGATGGCAAAAGATATTGGACCAAAATGGCGAATATTTAATTCCATAAAATATTTATACACTACAAAAAAATCCTCTTTTATTTTCACCAAAAAGAACGAAATTACTTTCCGAACAACCCGATATAATAATTGTCTTGCAATGATGTAATTATTATAAATTGTATATTTAGTAATATCGTAAACTCTAGTTACTATAGTTTTATCAGTTTTATGATCTTCATAGCTTCCGTACCATTTCTTGATTTTGCGATAAAATCACGATAATTGTGATGAATTTAATATATTTTCGAAATGAAAGTAATTACAATTTTGCATTTTTCTATAAAGAAATGAAATTCGATTTATGTATATATACAAAGTGTCTCGTAATATATAATACCTATTTTAAAAATTAATCTAACAAATTTTAAAATGAAAAAAAAATTCATACGAGCATGATTCAATTTGACTTTTTCTTTTAAATTCGAATTACTAGTCTTAGCAGAAAGTCTCCGAATTACCATTTTCCTGTAACGAAAAAATCGCCGAGTGCAAAGTGTTCCATTTCCATTTTCCCATTTCCCACTTTCTACCTAAGAATTTCATTTGCCTCGAATTTCAATTGCTGTACCAACCCAACGCGATTCACGGGACACCCTATACACCGGACACGCTGCCATCTCTAGAACGGATCGGGAGAACAAAAAGAGTTTCGGTCGACAAAGATACACACTTCGTCGGTTGATTCGAGTGTGCGAAACCGGAACCGGGCCATTTAATGAATGACGATTGTCAATTGCAGTGCTCCGTCGACACGGTGGTATGCGCCGAGTGGCATCCGCTGGAACGGAACCAGATCGTGTCCTGTGGGAAGGGACACGTGTCCTTTTGGTCCCTCGATAACAGTGGTATGCTGTACAAGCGGATGGGCATTTTCGAGAGCAGGGAAAAACCGAGATATGTCACTTGCGTGGCTTTTAATCAGAGTGGAGACGTTCTTACCGGCGACAGCAATGGCAACATCATCGTTTGGGGCAGAGGTAAAGGCACATTTCTTTTGCTTTTCTCAGGCAAATGGGGTACTATATGCGGAAACGGATTGGTAGTGGTATATATATTCGGTATTGTAATTTATTATTGTAATTCTTTTGCACCAGGTTAAATAATAAACCGTGGGGGTATACTTCCCACCCAAATATGGGTGATGCTCTTCTTGTTCAAGTTAAATAGGATTTTCAGTTGGATTTTTAAAAGGAATTCAATGGAATAAGCACTGAATTATAAATATAGGATATACAACATAAAATATGAAAAATATACACATTATACTATACATTTTATTAATTTATATTTAGGATAAAGTATTACATTATACTATGTCGCATGGTATTCGTTAAAACAGTCTAAACATATTCGACGTGATTTTGGACAATTGGAATAATAGGTCGTAGTTCTTTTTACATATTTCGTAATTGTCTGTCAATATGTTTAGGAGTGGTAAAACTTTGCCAAGTCTGCTACTCTGTTCTATCGTTTGGTTATTTGCAAAATGCAAGTTTGCTGATAGTAATTCAAAACGATTACGGGAAATGGAAAATTGTAAATAGGGTCCGTTGACCATCTAACGAGCGGTGTCTGTACTAGACGCATCGAAATCATCGGTCCGATAACGTTCTAGCGCTCCAACAGTGGGGTTTGGGCCTCGCGAGAAACTTAACCGAATCGCGCTGGGCGACGAACGTGTTAATTTTATACAGACAGAGATCTGCGCGTCTAATAAACAATGACTCTCTTTTTGTAACAAACAGGTTTTATTTAACTAGGATATTACACTAAGTTTCATATAATTCTCTATTCACTACGTCTCTACACATAATCAGCTTTCTAAGTCAACTCAAATCTGCCTACTTCCGAATTCTCGATTCTTCTCAATTCTTTATTATATTCTGACTGCCTCGCGCCCTTTCATCCTTACTTAAAGCCAAATCTATCTCTTTCCATACGCATTTTTTTCCTTCTCAATCATTCGACATACATTTCAACAAAAGGATTTGGCGCTATCGTTTGTCCTTTCGCGTTGGGCCCGATGCCGCCGTTCTCTATCCCTCGCTTTTCAAGTAGCCATTCAAACGTTGCCATGCACTCCCTTAGAAGTAGGACCGCACACTCATTTGCCTCGTTACAAAAAAAAAAAATCGATTTTTTTAACCCGGATTACAATACCTCCTTAAGGTCAGAACAGGCTGCTTGGAAATTAGTGTTCGACAGTATTTCTACTATAGCCTACATGGTTGTTTTCTAAGAGGTTCATCAAAAATTTTCTTCCCATATACCTAGTCAATTTTTCGATGTCTCTCGTTATTCCATTTTTCCAAAATTTTACTTCGATTTCATCTGCGACAGTCATTTGACCGTGGTAGCTTTAGCGTTGATCAGTGATAAAATCAGTGGAAGCCAAGTGAATTCTATTGTAGAGAATAGTAATCAATTTTTTGGGTTACATAGTGCCAGTTATAATTTTCTAATAGAGACTTTTGTAATTTTATATTGGATATTGTTTTATAATAATGTCATAATTTTCTAATCAGGAATAAATTGCTATTTGACTGTATCTAGTGTTGGAACAATATTTTGCAACAATATTGAATACAGGGTGTCCCAAAAAAGGTATACACATTTTATGTAAATATAAATTAATTATATTTGTATTATAATAAATTAATATAAATTAGAAAGAATAAGGTATTAAAGTGTGTATACATTTTTTAGGGACACCCAGTATTTTAGCGTATGTAAAATTTGGTATCAAGAGTTTAGTAGTATGAAGAAAGCACAATATTTTTCAATTGAAATAACGTTCTTTTGTTATAGGAACAAACACAATCTCAAAGATAGTGAGAAACATTCACGAGGGATCTATATTCTCGATTTGTGTCCTGAAGGATGGATTTATTGTCACTGGTGGTGGCAAAGACGGCAAAATATTATACTTCGACGAGTCCCTAAATTTGACAGGAGAAGAAGCACAAGTAAGCTCAAAAAATGCCACATTGAAATACAATAACGTAATCAGTAATAAATAATTATAATTATTATATATAATGATATCTATAAAAATAATATTATATAATATTATTTTAATATATATTATATGTATAATAATAATAATTATCCATAATAATTATTAAAAATTTGTTAATATACTATACTATTACTTCAAAAATTATAAAGATACATTTTTTATAATATATAATGTATATATTTCATATATATTGAACTTCAATTTTTGTCGCTATTTCAAAAATTTTTATTCATTTTTATGACGTTTTCATCTTCACCAGATACGAACAACGATATTATTCGCTAGAAAAGAAATTCGTAAAATTAGTGACGGATTTAAAATACCATTAAACATTTTAATTATTTTAAGTCCATTGACAATATATCTTACATATATTTCTTATATACCTTATACCTTAAAATCTACCTTATTACTAATTTAAATTGTATTATAAATTGTGTTAACGTATTATTTCTGTTTCAAAAAGACCCCTAAAATTTTAATTATTTTAATTCCATTGACAATAAACCTTATATATATTTCTTATATATCTTGTACCTTAAAATCTACCTTATTACTAATTTAAATTGTATTATAAATTGTGTTAACGTATTATTTCTGTTTCAAAAACCCCTAAAATTTTAATTATTTTAATTCCATTAACAATAAACCTTACATATATTTCTTATATATCTTGTACCTTAAAACCTACCCTATTACTAATTTAAATTGTATTATAAATTGTGTTAACGTATAATTTTTGTTTCGATAACACCCCTAAAATTTTAATTATTTTAATTCCATTGACAATATATCTTACATATATTTCTTATATATCTTATACCTTAAAACCTACCCTATTACTAATTTAAATTGTATTATAAATTGTGTTAACGTATTATTTTTGTTTCGATAACACCCCTAAAATTTTAATTATTTTAATTCCATTGACAATATATCTTACATATATTTCTTATATATCTTATACTTTAAAATCTACCTTATTACTAATTTAAATTGTATTATAAATTGTGTCAATGAATTATTTTTGTTTCGATAACATCCCTAACTTAATTCATTCACCAGATCGAGGATCATTTCGGTGGAATCCGAACTCTGGCGGAAGGCAGGGGTTCTCAGGTGCTGATCGGAACGACGAGGAACTGCATCTTGGTCGGCGACGTGGGAATGGGATTCAATCCTGCCATGTTGGGCCACGCCGAGGAGGTTTGGGGCCTGGCTGCTCATCCGACATTGCCGCAGTTCGCGACAGCTGGCCACGACAGGTTGTTACAAATGTGGGATAGTCTCAGTCACACTGTTGTCTGGAGCAAAGACATCGGGGTTAGTGTAAATTGCTGTTTGAATAATGCACCATTGTTCGCTACTGTTGTTACATTCTAACTACTGATTCTATTCAAACAGTGGACAGGTAGCCTTCTGTTTATACACATAGCTACATGTAAGCAGTCGAACATTGTTAGCTACTGGTTTGAACAATCTTTAAGCCTGTTCAAAAATAATTAACTCTATTTAACAGGAACTTTTTTCAATGATTAACAACTTCAACTAACTACTAATTCTTTTCAAACAATAGACAGGTAGTTTTCTGTTTATATACATAGCTACATGTAAACGGTCGAACATTGTTAGCTACTGGTTTGAACAATCTTTAAGCCTGTTCAAAAATTATTAACTATATTTAACAAGAACTTTTTTCAATGATCAATGACCAAGCCAAAAATTTAATTTCAGAGAAGAAAAAAAGAAAAACTTTGTAAATTAGAAATCCTATTTCCTTTATTATTTTTACTATTAAAGATGAGTTAAAATACCATATTACACGTTATTAACATCTTCTTGATGGAGGGTTAATACACAGGGTTAACTATACATTGCTACATTTTATTATACTTGATTATGATTGAATATAGTAATTATTCAATTACAATTAATATATAGCAATATTACTTATAATATTATTATAAATATATATACGAACCACTCTGGGAATATAGTTAATTTTAATTATTATTGTGTAATTTTAATTTATGGAGCATTGTAATATAATATAATATGTAATTATTTGTAAAGTCTAGAGAATTTAATGATAAACAATAGTACAAAATAGCATTATTTCGTGATTATTGCATAAATGGAAATAAATCAACACAGTTAAACTGTGAGAAACAATGTGTAGATGTAATTCTATGGCAATTATATGGAGTTTTCATTCATTTAGGAACAAGCACAGAGCATAGGGTTCTCACCAGATGGTAATGTCATGGTGGTCGGCTGCACTTCCGGAAAATGGTTAGCAATCGACAGTGAAACACGGGAATTGTACACTCATCACAGTGATGGATCGGAGCCTATCCAGGTAAAATGATCATTTAAAAAATTAATATAATCTTATATTCTATAAAACTATAGAATTAAGAATATCTATAAAATTAAAAGAACAAAAATCAAGAATATAGATTTAATAAAGAATAAATATAAAGAATAATAATAAAGAATAAATATAAAGAATATCTATAAAATTAACATAATCTATATTCTATTCTATAATTAATATAATCTTATATATTTTGCTTAAAATATACGGTATACAATTTCACTTGCCCATCAGACTTTTATATAGAAAATATGAAAAATATAATAAAGAATAAATTTAAAGAATATCTATAAAATTAACATAATCTATATTCTATTCTATAATTAATATCATCTTATATCTTTCGCTTAAAATATACAGTATACAATTTCACTTATAGCAATTCACGAAGAGAGTCATCATCTTGCAATGTCATTAATTCTAATAACGACAAAGTGATCAAATTCTTGTATATCTTTCTCAATGTTGACGTTAAAATTGATTTTTCGTCTCCAAAAAGCTCTTTCAATTATTTACAAGCATGTATTTTATATTATATTAAAATAGATAGATATTTATTTTCTTACTGCATACAGTTTAAGAATTTCATTTTAATATTCTACATTGCACATAACCTTACTGTATTTAAGTACTTATATATGTATACACGTATAGTCCTAGACTTTGGTGTCACTCGTTGTCTCACTCCTTTACTCTATTTCCTTATCTGTCCTCTGTCTTTCTCCTTAAAGTCCTCTCGAAATCTCTTATATAGTCGCATATTTCAAGATTGATTTTTCCTGTTATAAGCCTTCTCCAATTATTATTTTTCCTACGTCTACTTTTCTCGTCGCTTCATCCACGTTTCTATTTATTTCTTTCTTTACCAGCTTTCCCAGCTTCTTGAAAATCTAAGCGTGTTCCAAGTTTTCCTTCCCATTACCGCACAGCCTACATTCTTCGTCCTGGTATTCTTTATTTCCCGCCCTGCCGATATTTCCGCACCTATTACGTGCTCATTGCTCTTTGTACATGTTGTTTCCGCTTCCACTCTTTCTTCACACATTGAGCGCCGGCGACATATGGGACATTTAAAGCCTGAGCACCGGCTTCATTCGCTTGTTTCCGAGCAACGAGTAGCTAAAGAAAATATTTAAAACTTATACATTTTCTTAAAATACTATATTTTGATTGCATATTCGTCATTCTGTGGGCATTTCACTATTACTAGAATCATCGGAATCACTCGAATATTGTAATGGAACGGCTCTTGATATTCTCCTTGGACCCAAATCACTATCACTGTCCTCGACTTGTGTGTCAGAATCTTCTCAATGTATCGAATAATCTGATAGAGGGTCAGCAATATACTCGTTAAAAACTTCGCTCATATTATATGGGTAAAAAGTCACAGAATAATAAGACTTATTATATTGTTCAACGAAAAGCGTAAACCTACGAAAGGGGTACTAACTAAGGAATACTCTGCTTGAGAGTGATTCTCGCTTTGATTGTTTCTGAACCATCGTATACGTTTTATTTTCGGAGTATAACAAATGCAGATTGTCGTAATCGTGACAAGTGAATGCAAATTGACGTGTAAGACATCCATACAAGCAAAAAAAATCCTCATCGTCGTGAGGGTGAGGGTCAAGTGACAAACTTAGAAACCCGCGTTTTCACGGGACCGGTGCTCAATGTGTTAAGGTGTTTATACTTTGACCAGTGGTTAGATTTTCCTATTTTGCTCCAATTCTTCTGGATTAGCTGGTCTCTTCTGATATTCCATCCAAGTTGTAGCTGTTGCTTTAGTTTGTCTGTATCACTTTCTACTCTCTTTCTTGCTTTTACCCCTATTGAGGGTCTTTCTATCTCCGTTCTCCAACACATTATATTAAAATATTAAAATATATTTTCGCATGAAATTTGTATTTATCAGCACAGGAAAAGAATTCTTGGACAATAAATTTCAGAAATTAATTAAAGAATGTGTATATCGTCAATAGGTCGACCGCAATTAGCGACGGTTAATGACGAACCAAATTTCTTGAGGAACTTGTGTTTATAGTGGACTGTATATTTTGTAATTGTTCCGGTTAACTCTCCTGAACTCTTCGAATGTTATTTGCTGACTGACTGGCACTGACCTAACTAACTTGTGCGATGCACGATCTTTCGGAGCCTATGGTTTCCAAAGGGAAATCGGTTTTTCCATTGGTGGTTGACAGGACCAAGGGTGGTCCCTCGGTCCGCGAATCAGATGCCCCCAAAGAAGGAAGGACCGTTTTCCGCGGTGACATCGCACATGGCCTGGTCCCTTTCTTTGCAGGCCTATTGTCAGCCAAATCCTAAGTGCTGTTGCCTGCTTTCTAACATTAATGGCTAAAGAAAGCCTCGTGTCCGGTGACCCGAGGGAAATAAAGAATTGTTTGAAAATGCATTGAAAATGAAGATAGAAAGGACACGGAACTTGAACTAAAACAGCAATTAGAATCTGGCTGCCAGAAGACCCTAACGGTCTTCTGGGTCTATTCTAATCAAGGGCCGAACAAAATACCGGCACGACATTCCAAGGCTTAACAGAATGATTAAAAAGGTAATAGATTGCATCGAGTCATAGTAGTGCTCAACGTTTAACTTCGTTACTTTGTACTTTGCAAGGTCGTTGACTTTGGAGACACGATAAATCGTAGTAATAAATTGCTGAAGTTTCTAAAATGAACTTCGTTGTAATTGTTTCATTTTCCAGTACGATTAATTTCGTTCAGCTATGGAACAAGTAATTGATTTCGTAATTCACTTTCAGGTCGTTCAATTTTCACCAGACGGCACGCTACTAGCGTTGGGTTCCAGAGATAACTACATTTATATTTACCAAGTAAATGAAGACGCGACCAAGTATAGCAGAGTCGGACGATGTATGGTAAGATATTACTCTCTTTCTCACGAATCTTTTTAAATTCGCAGTAACTTACGGAAAAAAGATGTTACATAAATCGTTCTAACATTTTATCTGATAAAATTAAAAGAGAAAATGAGGTATACATTTTTGTTCATGAGTATTATTTCTCCATTTTTCCAACATTGAAAGCTGATTAAAATGGAGAACTATTTGCTGCAGATTTTTATTATTAAGCCTATTATTATTATATCTATTATTATATTTATAAAACTATTAATAGGATATTAAAAAATTTGTTTTGGAACATTAAATTTGTAAGAAATTATTTTCTCCAAATAATGTCCATGATTATTATGAATAAAATTTGAAATGGTATGAAAAAGAAGCATAAATGATTCGAATTCGCATCAATAACGATCTAAAGAAGTATCATAAGTGAAGAATTAAAAAGTTGAATAAAACTAAATTAAAAATTCTTAATTTGATATTATTGAAATTAAAATTACATTAAAATTGTATACCTTAAAATGAAAATAAAATTTTTAATCGATGAGGTTTCTGCGTTATTATCGAATACGTACGTGAAATCTTCGTATTTGTAGATTTCGAGCAGGATAATAATTCTTAATACGTTAAATATACGTAAATATTTTTAATAACTCAAATTTTTAACGTGTGAAGTTCTCTTAAATCGTGTTAAGTATCTTAAATAATTCTAGTAAATCTAATTCTTAGTGTATTTAACCTCCTTAGAGTCTTAAATAATTCTAATTCTTAGTTTATTTTGTCTACTTAGTATGTTAAGTATTATTAGTAATATTAGTGTCCCAATACTCATGAACAGAGATGTATATACATGTATAATGAAACATAAATTTCGTAATGTATATACATATATATATGTGTTATATTAATATTACATATTACTATTATTCATATTTTCTAATCTATGAACTTTCCAAAATTTCATTTGGCTATATATACTTATCCTTGCTTGGTGTTTAATAAATTTTTACTGTTATAAATAATTGATTAAATGTACAAATGTATACTTAATAATCTTCCCAAATGTTTTCTTCTCAAAAAAAAATTTTAATAAGTGTTATAATTTGAAACTGTATGTTCAGTAAAATTTGTATTTTTACATTTTGAGTACGCCAAAAATGATATATAAACCGCTAAAAAATTTTATATTCATTGATGTAGAATATTTAAGAAAATTTTAAAGTGATACGAAGCTGTACAAAATTGCTTTCATAGTGTTATAAAATTTGTCGTTGTCATACCATTTTTGTATATAAAACTCACTGTGTAGTCGCCATGTTTTTTAATGTTCATTTGTTTGATGTTCTGAAACAACGACATGAATTACCTTCATGTATAAGCATGCAGTAACATAATCGGATATTATAAAATACGAAAATGATCTGTTTTTAATGATATTTAATTAGAACATTTTCACATGGAACAGGTGATTCAATGGATCATTTTCAGTTTGTGAACCATAAATGTATTTAGAATAAATTTAGATCCGCATTCGTTGTAAAAGTTTCATTGTTCATTACTCGTTCTATTGTGCTGTTTGTTTAAAAAAGAAAGTGAACAAATTATCGATATTGTGATATTTTAGTAAATTATTTTATTTGTATTTCTATTCAATCATAATATTAATATTTATTAAAATTATTAATACAATATTACTAATATTTTGATATTTTCAATATTAATACTATATAACATTAAGAAAGTGAACAAAATATCGACATTGTAAATTGATTTTTTAGTAAATTATTTTATTTATATTGCTATTCGATCATAATATTAATATTTATTAAAATTAGTAATGCATTATTACTAATATTTTGATATTTTCAATATCAATGCTGTATAACTTTAATATTAACTTTATCAGTAGAATAAATATTAATTACATTTTCAATCATTTGTAACATATTCAAAAATTTATTCCGTAAAAACTGATATGCAAAATATGGTAAGCTAAAAAGTAAAAAATGATGTACAAAAGTTTCTATTTTATTTATCGAATAATTGAAGGTTGTTAAATAATAATTTATTAAATTTGTCATCCTTCTTTTGTAGATTGTATAGTTGCTAGGAACCAAATTATCAAACAAAAAGTCAGTAATTATTTACAATAGAAATCTTAACAATTTTCTTACGATTAGGGTAACTTTCATTAACTCACAAATATTACATACATTTTTTCTTCATTTCTAGCCAAAGCGGATACGCAGACGTGCAGTAAGACATGTCTTTAGTTGATCAAAATTGAAAAAGAGACATTATGTTAAATTTACACACATTCAATTTTTACAAAGAAAAAAAGAAAATTCATAAAATATTAGTTTTCGCATATAACGATGTAATTCTTTGCATTTAATAACTTCCACATTTTAATTTTAAAAAGTTTATATTTTATACAAACAATAAGTGATAAATAAATTCATACCGTTTAATTAAATTATTCAAATTTTATACCATTGTACTAATCGATTATTTTTCTAAACAAAACATTGCAAAAATTTTTGAGTACTTAGAGTAAATACTTACTCTTGAAAGTACATAGAAATATTAATTATAAAAATATAGAAGAGAATATATTTCTACAAAATTTTCTAATCCAATATACAATAAATACTTGCAATACTGATAAATATATTATCTAAATAATCACTCAACTGATACTAACTAACATATTATTCTTTCTATAATTTTCAAAAAATTCTGGTAATAACAATAACATGCAACATATTATTGAAATTTAAATTACATTAAAATTTTATAGCTTGAAATTAAAATAAAATTATTACATAACAGTTTAACTTCACAAAGAATTACATACTTTTTAATAACTTCACTATACTATCGATATCAACACTACACATACAATAACAGAGATTGTTTCACAGTTCGACGACAAACAATCGAATGTTACTCTGATCTCGAACGTGAAAACCTATCTTTTTACAATTGTTACAAAATTTACCATTACACGATATACGATATAATGTCTCTAAAACTGATGCAATATTGCCATAGCTATTCATAGTCACATACAGGCAGATATTTCTGTTTTAAAATTGCTTACCTCGAGCACGCACGGTAGTCATTGTTTGCACAAACTGTTGACACTCCTTTCATAGTAATGGCTGCAAACTCGATTGAATCTAGCTGCTTCGAAGGAAGCCATTGACACATTTTTTTTTCTCTATTCGCGACAAAAGTATTATTTAAGTAATGGAAAAGACGTGCTTTTTCCAATTTAAACGATGAATACCTATTTCAGGGACATTCCAGTTTTATAACTCACTTGGACTGGTCAGTGGATGGACAATATCTACGTAGCAACAGTGGAGATTACGAGCTGCTATATTGTAAGTAAAATAAACGAAATTTGCATTTGTTAGTGGTGGATGAAATATGAATAACAATAAGAACAATTCTTTATTTAATTACAAAAAATGATCAAACACAAATATTAAGTATAATCTATTAATTTATATCAAATTAAATTCGTTTTCGATCTGTAAAAACAACAAAAGTACAAACAACCATTGATCGTGACTACTATGTTACAAAATAAGAATATAATCATTTATTAAAAACATTAAGTATATAAAAATATAATTTTATAAATATATAAATTACATAAAAAAAGTTGAAATTGTTACTACCTTTAGTTATATCAAAATAATAAATTATAACTGTCACGAGTACTAAATAATTTATAATAAATTTAGTAATTAAAGAAATATATAGAATTACAATTTGTTAAAACTTTAGTAAAAATTAGATATCATAAATTAGTAGATTTCATTAAACTAAGTATAATGAGCGACAAACCTACAAAATAAAATCGATAATCATTAGTTTTCTTAGCACGAATCTAAATCCAAAAATAAAAAAAATAAAAACTTACACTTGTTAGTGGTGGATGAAATATCAATAACAAAAAGAACAATTCTTTATTTAATTACAAAAAATGATCAAACACAAATATTACAAATAAACTGGAAATTTATTAAATAAATTATTACTAAAGGAACGTTTAAATTTAATATTCCTATAAATGAGATATCTTAAAGTTTTTATTTTTTCGCGTTTATCCGATTAATTTCTTCTTTCAATGATAAAATAAAATTTTTTAAATAAAATCTTCAAACTGCAAAATTTACTACTGTGTCTAAAATTGGAATCAACATTACCATAATCTCAATTCTTAATTACAGGGAATCCCGGTGTCTGTCGCCAGATTCCGCAGCCATCGATAATGAGGGATATGGAATGGGCAAGTCACACGTGTGTAATCTCCTTCGAAACAATTGGAATATGGCCCGAAGGTGCTGATGGTACAGACGTGAACAACTGTACTCGCAGTAGTGACTCAAAATTACTCGCAACCGGGGACGACTTTGGAAAGGTCAAATTATTCTCTCATCCTGCTTGTCAGCCTAAGGTAAAATTTTAAATTCATATTCGAAAATATAATATTATTACCATACTCTCTATTACAGTACTGTTTATTATTTTAATAACATTAAATAATAATAAATATAAAGTAATACGAATATCATATACATATATAACAAATATATAACACTAATTATAAAAATTAATGTGAATATTAAAAAAATTATTCCTATGTTTAAACAATTGCTCTTAATAACGTAATACTGCTTTCACTTCGATTCCTACTTTCATTCGAGAAGAATGAAAAACGAAAGTTACTAGACGTCGATTGGCGCGAAATTTGAACGTAGGTTCGCAATATATAGTCCGCAATATAAAGTTCGCAATATAAATCCTACTTTTAATTATCGTTTATTAATTTCTAATATCAATTTTTATAATAACTCTTCAAAAACTAATAAATATCTAAATTATATTTAATTGAATTATAAATAACAATAATATTAATAATTAAGTTTTATGAATTTTATATTTTGAATCTATTCCTTTTTCCTCCACCACTACCCTTAATTAAATGTGTGTAGGAGACCTCGCTCAAAAATTGATATCCAAAAAACATTATTTCCCTCTAGATCGAATTATAGTCCATTCGTGCAACGAACGAAAAGCAATAACTGCTTAACGAGAATAAATTTGTTTGTTTCAGTCGCTGTGTCACGTGTACGGTGGCCATTCGAGTCACGTCACGAACGTGTCATTCCTGCAAGATGACACGCGATTAATTTCCACCGGTGGTGGCGACACAAGCGTTCTTCAGTGGATCGTGAACTACTAACTCCGCACGACCGATGCCATTCGCGTCGAGTCCTTCGTGATCGAGTGGCTGAGAAACGAATGAAAGAAAAAGAGAAACGACGCAGGTTCTTCGATGGAAAACAAACTCTGAGGAGAAGAAACCACGCGAGGAGGAAGAAGAAATACGGTGGTCGAATGTTGCTTCGATATTCATCCCCAAACGACCGTACGATGAATCGAGTATCGACGAAACCGTCGCGATAAGTTTCGCGAAATTGCCGAAATAATCAAACTTAATCGCGAACGTTAATTCCTTTAAGTACATCAAAATTTATCGTGACGGGAAGCGAGACTAAACGTGAGTCGTATCGGAATTTTCATTGTCTTTCTTTCAAAAGTGTCCTTCGCTGAATAATTGGCTCGGTAGGTTAGAGTAGAGAACGATTTTGTTTAACCCTTTCACTTCGACAGTTCAGTCTGTATCAATCGTGTACAGATGGCGCTTGTATACGCATTATTTGGATACGGGATATATGAGCCGTTCACTGCACAAATTGATTAACTGCATTAAACAAAAAGTGGAGAAATGCAATGAAATAATGTATATTGTTTTTTAAAATTCCCTTTATAATTTAAATCGAAATAAATATCGTAGAATGCATAAATACAAATGTAACTTTCATCTAACGGTATATAAAATTTATAAGAAAAAATAGCCAAAAGGTAATCGTTAGTAATGTTACCATTTTTATGTTACTGGAAGAGTTAATCGATTTGGCAAGTGAAAAAGTAATAAATTTAAATTTTACTAAATTTTACTTAAATTCTGATAAGACGGCACTAAAAAATTCACCGTTATCATTCATGGCTTGCTAGTGCATTTGAGTTGCATTATTGCAGCGATTTACATTAGAGTACGGAGTTAATCAAAGTGACCTCTGAAATAAATTATTTATTATTCAGTGGCCAACAAATTTTTGTTGTTTAACGGTGTTAATCTTAATTATCGGGGAAAGTTATTATAAATATAAAAAGTTATGACTGTACCAAGTGCTTTGACACTTAAATTTAAGATTTTTCAAGAAGTGGAGTTAATCGATTTGTGCAGTGAACGGCTCATATGTGGGGTGTCGTCACGTGGACGCCACCTATATGCAGCGCTCGTAATCACAGTCATCTCGTGAATACCACCTATAAGCGGCGCTCTAAGAGAAAGGGTTAACGTTGATCAAGAATAGAGACATAGATGAGTAAGATGAACGTAAATGTTGCGAAGAAATCGAGGAAAAGATAGATGCAGTGCAGTATTGAATTCTTAAGCAATATTCATTCGTCAGATGAAAACAAGGTACGCGTCGTACTGTTCTGACAGAGTCTAAGCAGAGCGAAACTAGGGAAAAGATCTTGAAGAACGAGTCGAGAAGAAAACGACACAGAAACACTGGGTACAGTTAAGGGAATGTTAGCTAATTCTACGATTTAAGTGTCCTTTGCAAAACGATGACTGAAAGTCGTAACATCTAATTTCTTAGCTACGATCTTGACGCGCGATCCGATCTATTCGCGATCTTGCGCTTGAACAAGACGATGACGAGGCTTCATCGATATCTTGTTACGCGATATGGCAGACTACGTAGACTGTACGTTTAGTAATAGCGATAACAAAGTGTCTTTTGCATATTACATGTATTCACAACTATTTTTCGAACGTCGGAGCGCCGACTTTACAAACTTCTGTGACTGTTCCTCGTCTAGCTATCACTGACGATGCGCACCGTGTCCTTTCCATGCAAGCTGCACAGCTCTAGAGAGATATTTTCGTTGCAATTCATTGCTCGTATCCACGAGGTGATGGAGACTAAGTTGTCTCGGACTACCTTCTGTTTCTTCTTCAGCGTTACCTTTCCAGCCACCTGGTACTGAAGGATGTGTCCCATTCTCGCCGATGGATCCTCATCGATCCTCGTCGCGAACGTGTTTCTATAGTTTGATCAGAGTTGGGCTGAGATGGTAAAAATTAGCGAGCTGTACAACTAATCTTAGCAATTACGAAAGGCAAATTACAATGCGACCCTGTTTATCCGGCTCAGACGGGACCAGGACTGATCCGGATGATCGAAAATCCGGGAAAATTTATAAGTAATACAGTTTATACGCGTTTTATTTTATTTATTATGCATTTCGTATACCTTTCCAACGATATCGTACGTGTTACCAGAGGTAGAGAGTGATGGCTCGAGTGCATTGGCGTAAACATAGTTTCGGAATATTAACTAAGCAGCAAACACAAAAATATCACGAATTTTATCTAGGTATTTTTCATACTTCTGTGATTATGTTTTCTAATACGGATTAACACTTTGACTGCCACGTTGGTCATATATGACCGGCCACGGTTTCTCCGGTGACGCCACGGTGGTCATTGGTGACCGGACTGCTTGAACTGCTTAAACTACATTGAACAACGTTGAATGAAAATTGACAGTTGGTGCATTTTGAATATAACCTCTAATTAAAAGATACTTTGAAATAAAAAGTGCCCCATTGAACGATTAAAAATTTTTATTAGAACATCAAGAAAATATTAGAACAAATCTCACATCGTAGAAACATGTGATTTCGACGTGGCAGTCAAAGGGTTAACGAGATCCGAATAAACGGGGTTTCGCTGTACGTTGAACAATGCACGTGATCCAGAAGGGTGAAAGAGATTGGAGGACTGCTGGATAATATCATGTATTAATGAGATATTTTAAAATTAATTGGGACACGTAAGAGAAAGGAAAATGAAGTTCAGAAGTATAGTTGAAAGGGTGCAAAAATATTTGAAATTATTTTACTTCATCTGGGAATTGTGATGTGTTTATGTTTGGTTTAACATTTGTATAATAAATTACTATTAATATTTGTTTCCTTTTTTCAGGAATAATATGCATGGTTCTAGTAATAGTTTCGAAAATGTGGATGAATACTTTTTATTCGACGAGAGACAAAGAATGAACGTTATTTTGCTTCTGATCTTTTGTTAAGTAACTTAATTATGTAAATTATTTCCATGTAACTTACATCGTAATATAAATTAAAAATAAATTTATTTCACACGAGAGTTTATAGAAGAGGTTAACAAATTGATAAGTTAACGTTACCTAGCATACAAATTGCATGTGCACGCGATGTGAAAATGGTGATTGGTCATTTATAACTCTATGCAAATACATCAAGAATTTAATTTGCGATCAGCCTAGGTTCGGTACTAATGTTATTAATCCAACTTCAACTTTCTTCACCACTCACCGATAAATATGAGAACGAAACACAAGGTTTCCTAGTGACCGTCTTGCGCAAACAAAATGGCGCCCAACTCTGACACGCGTCTGATCAATGTATGTTCTGATATTACGTATGTCACTTCAACTTTGGTGTCGAATGATTGTACAGTCGAATGTAACACGCGGCTACCAGAAATCCAAAGAATCTCAAATTTGAGAATATCGTAGCCTCGTGTTCACTCTGGGAGACAAGTGTCTCGTCGAGATAAGCATGGAGCAGGAAAAAGAGTATCAGAATGTCTAGAAACCGAATGTTTAAAATTTAGAGCGTTAGGTGCAAAGAAAATGCACATAGTAATTTATCGATCACATGCTCTGCTGTATTGAAATATGATTAAACATTATAAAAACAATGTGCACAACAAGACATTTTTTTTTCATTCACTTTTTTTTACGAGGATTTTTCTTACGATATAGCAATTATATTATAAAAGATAAACGATGTTTCACTTAACTTGGTGTAAGAGCAAAATGTTCTAAGATCCTCGTATCACGTGCGAATTCTTGTATAACTGATGAAGAAAACGTGTTAAAATTTCCTTAGAAAACATTCTATACTAATCGAATTTTATATCACGAAAATTGGTGAATATACTCGAAAAAGTCATAATTTGTAAGTAAATGTTAGTTAGAATAAATGTAGAATAAAATTCAAATAATTAATGAAAAAATAATTGAAAAAAATTTAAAAAAAAATTAAAATAAAAAAAATCAAATCGTTATGAAAGACGATCCTAGTATAATCGTATACAAATTGTTTCAAAATACCTGGCACAATTAAGTATAAGGTTAATCTACATGCAAAAATAAGTCGAAAATGTGGAATAAAATTTTTTCATTTGAAGCTTCATTTTCAAGAAAATCGAATTCGAATTTGTAGTGGGCGAACGCTTATACGGCAGCCATATTGCACGCCTTCGACAAGTAGTATGCAAACCTCACGAATTTTCAAGTACGATTTTCTCAAAACTGAGGGCAAAAATGAGAAAAATTTATTCTTCTCTTCCGACTTATTTTTGCTGGTAGAATCATCTTCTGCTCGACTAAATCGCTAATCCCTATATACCGAATACGATCTTTACATAAATTTTTAAGAAATTAAGAGATATAACTTTTACTATATTTCCTAAATACGAAAATCTCGTGTGAAAATTTCTTCGACACGAAATTGAACATTGACTATCGAATTTTTAAATAAAGAATCTTCAAAAGAACGTGATCGTAAGGTACGTTGCAGCATCGAACACGAATTTCCTCAAATTACGAGCTTTTCTTTGCACCTAGTCTCACTGAATAAAATTCTCGAACAGGAATCGATTTTTCGACGAGGTTGATCTGGTATGACGTTTCGAATAATGACAAGGAAAAAGGATGGAAAACTCCGTATCGTAAAATGCCGTCCAGTAGAAACTACACATGTAGCATAATACGCAAATCGACGGGTATGCTTGTAAAATCGAACTGATCGATTCTATTTAATTATTAAACGGAACTTGATTAAGTGTACGCCGAATTTATTGCACCGTTTAATAATCAGGCTTCGTTTAATAGTTTAAGAAACGCGAGAAAATTCTAAACCATAACTGTACAACACGAATTGATTCCTCCAATTTGCTTTTTCGAAGTACACGTTTTCAGGCATTTAATACGTGGGATTCGTCGACTTCTAAGCCATTGCTTAACTCCATTCGGTTTAGTCCTTTATCCCTTCCCCTTCTTCCCTCTTTTCTTTTTATTTTTATATTAATTAATAATCAATTAATAATCGTCGCGTGCTTCTGCTAACAAAGAGCCAATAAAAGTGTATAGATTCTTATTTAATCGAAAAAATAACGATACCCAAAACGTAAACTTGTAAGAATTAGAGGATAACATAAGCGATAACAAGTGGAAAAAATTTTGCAATTTTCTGTATAGTGTTATTGGTTTCGTAAGATGAAATATAAATTATGATTATTTATGGTGTTTCTCGATTCACGTCACGTCAATTGAAGTTACAACGAACATTTTGTCCATAGCTGTAAAATTCTCGCGAAAGATGAATAACTTATGTGACTGATATTAGATAAAATATCTTATAATTTTGTAAATAGAAATTTTAACTAATTTTGGAAATGACACATTTTCTTTTTAATATATAACAGAAAATTTATTATTTTTCTTTAACAGAAGAACCGATTATTGAAATCGACAAATTTTTAATTATCGATTATTGAATTTTACTGATATTTTACATATGATAATTAAATTAATAATAGATATTGAAATTTTCTAATCATTGAAACTGAAATTTCATAACTTTGCACAAATATCTGACCAATTCATGTACAATCCTATTTTAAGAGGCAACTATACTGTTAATGACAACAATATCATCACTTGACCAAAATAATTTATTTATAAGAAAATTCCTTGCGTTCTGAAAACTGAAGAAAATTGAATTAAAAATTTTAGTAAATAAATTCGTTTTACCCATTTTCTTTTTAATCCACGGAAAATTAAATTTTACGTTCTCTTTTGTTATACTATTGACACGACTATAATTACTGACACTACATATTCGTCACACGTTTAAGCATTGTAATGGCAGAAATAATGTCATTGAAATTTTCATGTGCTCTACAAAAATTACTACAAAAGGGACATTATGATTCAAAAATTATATACTACTTGTTTAATTAATACTTAGACTAAAACACAAAAATTAAAATTAACTAAACATTCAACTATATACACACTATAATCGAAAAGAATGTATATATGAGTATATCACAATATTGAAATATATAAACAAAATGTATTCGCAAGAAACATAATCTATTAATAATAGAAGATTTCATTATTGAATCAAATTTCTGGTAGTGAAAATTCTTAAACAATTACTTATTTAGAATCATATATGTATATATGCACTTATAGCTGTAGTCCGCACTCGAGAGTAGATATTTTCAAAACCTATTAACAGCAAAAAGATAAGATAGTGATCCCAGTTAAATTATTACTATTTTATATTAATTTAATTATTAAAGAATGCAATATATTTCGTTATTTTTGCAACAGTTAAATAAAGCTTAACATCTAGAGCTAGATAAATAAGAATATCCTGCAATTTCTTAGTGCAACTAAGAACGAGATGATTCTACACGAAAAAATAAATGAAAAATGTAGAATAAAATTTTTTCATACGAGTCTTTATTTTTGAGAAAATTTATTTGAAACGCTACCTGGCGTGCGTGTATCTATGTCTTGACTTAATGAATTTAGCCAAAAATTATTATCCCCACTCTTATTCATCTTCATAAATATTCCCAATATAATAAATTATTTTGTCGAATTTTTAAATTTAATTTTTTTAAAATCAAAGCCTCGAATGAAAAACTTTTATTTTATATTTTTTACTGATTTTTTCGAGTAGAATCAGTTACAGGATACCTGTATGATTTTAAACTTCGCAGTTTTCCCCAATCTGTTAATTTATAAAGGCAGAAAGGTTATTTTAATTTTGGCAATTTTAATTTATAAAATTGCTTTCTTCCGTTCAAGATGATTTACAATTTTCCCAATAAAATTTTCATAAAAATATAATTCCTGAAAAATAATCCACTTTCTAATTGCCGAGTCAAAGTTATATTCATCTCGGAAAGCTGAACAAATAATAATAAATAATTCAGCGAAAAATGATATTTTAAGTAAATTCCTATATATTCCATTAGATAAAATAGAAAATTTTACAAACGTAAATCACGAAAGACGTGAAAAATTTACCTCGGATGATGAGAAATGCGATTCGAAAAAGTTAAAGAACGATTGAAAACTGAAGGAATTAATAAAATTGAGAACGACGCAAACCTAATGGAGTTAAGAGAGAGAAAAATTTGTAGGAGTGAGATTCAGAAATTCTATTGGAGGAATTTGATTGAAGTCGTCCACAAGAAAGTATTCCCGACTCATGTACTGATCATTATAAGTCAGCTGTAAATTAAGGTACGAAAGCAAAATAATTGTCCAAGTTGTCGATTTGTACAGGATGTATAAAAATTATTTATCACCACAGCGTATTTCTACATCTTCGGATCAATGAAAAATCTATGGAAAAAAATGTTCGCAAAATTGTCCTTAGACATGATTTTCAAGTTCAAATTTTTTTGTCATTGCATCGTATTCTATTAATCACGAGAAAGATATTTATATACCCTGTACAAATATTAGGGAGTGTAAATAGAGTAAGATCACAGTGGCGAATTCTTCTTTTGATGTCTTATATACAGTACTACTTGGATAAATGATCGTCAAACTGACCCATCTCTTGATTACTTAACCAAGGTATAGTATCATTTTTCATAAATCTGCATACTTTGAAACGGGTGATCATAGCTAGTTGTAAAAAAAAATATGTTATATGTTTCATTAAATCTTCGTGAGATTTAGATCATTGAAATTCTCCTGATAAAAATGAGTCGAAACGAGATTTTATCTGGAAAGTATTTAATTATATGTAAATGTTAACACTTATAGAAATAAATGTTCCTTAAATAAATATAAACGAAACTTTTTCTCAATGATATTGGTAATTATTATGAATCTATAATAATTTTTAATCGTTGCCAGGTTGAATCATTTTTGTCTCTTTCATGTGTATGTGCAGTTTAAAATGGTCTAAATGAAATCATAAGTAGACTCATTTTTATAGAGAGAACCTTGTGAATTTATCGACAATAATTTCATAAAGATCTAATGAAAAATATACAATTTTAATTTTCACTTCAGAGTAATTCATTGAATGAACAACTTACTGTCTGTGTAAGTCAAATTAAAAAAAAAGTAGTAAGATTGATATCACGAAATCTTGGTAAATCTAGGGAATTTGTAGTCATTTATCCGTGGAATACAATATTTCCGTATCCTTTTGGTATGAACCGTTTTACCAAAGTTCAACAAAGTAAAGATGATTAGTTTATTTTCACTCGTTGTCTTTATGTAAAATATATACATATATCTATATATTTTATTTATATCACGTCAATGCCATCTATATCTATATGTATCTTCAACGTTTAATAAATCGCCTTTATGGACAATCATTCGCATTGAGTAAATTGACCCTTCATGTCATATTTATCTATGATAAATAAATAAATAATAAATTGTAACTGTCCTTTTATGGAAAAACTTAAAAAAATCCTATCTAAACTTTAGAATTCTAAACAATAATACATGTATGCACCAATTCCAAATACAACATACTTTATTATTATAAAAATAGGTACAACGTGATATGTAGCAGAATATCCTATTTCCACGTTGATATTAAGGTTTGGATACATATATTTAAATCAGCTCAATTTTATTATTGATTTATACATTTTTTTACAAAAATATTTTGTATATGCTTTGTGACTAATATTAGCTGAAACATTCATTAACATAAATGACCATCGAACGCATATTTCGAAATCTGCGAATGCATTTTGAACACGAAAATATTGACATTACAGGTTGTAATAGATTTCCTACTCTAAAATTAATAATCGGGTACATTACAAATACGTGATAATACTTGAATTAGTCGTGCCTGTTCCTGTATGGTCGAATTTAATTCTGTTTGCTCTTCCACTAATAACTCTTTAACTGTTTTTAACTGCTTAAAATCTTCTTCGTAGATACCTATTTGGACTTGTGACAATCTGATTTCTTCTTTCTGTGTAAAAGATAAAAAATTAGTATTATGTTTATTATTGCAGACAATTATTTATTTTGTATCACTTACGTATTCCATTAATTCTCTCACTAGGTTTTTTATTTGCAATTCTTTTTTCCTTATACTTTCATGTATGATACCAAGTTCAGAAATTAATGCATTACATTTTGTTTGTAATTCATCTTTTTCTGCTTCTACAGATGCTTTTTCTTCTTGCAAATTTTTCACCTCTAGTTGTAAAGTTTCTTTAGCCTCGTTTAAGTTTTTGTATTCTATTTCAAGCTCATTTTTTCGACTTTCATACAATTTTTTTTCTTCTTCAAGATTTTCTCTTTCCTTATCAACTGCAATTCTTTCTTCTTCTGATAATCGTTTACTATTAGTATTTTCTTCTTCTACTTCTATAAAGTTTTCAGTAGATTCAAAAGTTGAAGGCTCTTGCAGTAATGTATCTTCTTTGTTACTTTCATCTAATATTGGTTGTAATTCTTTCATTATTAACATCTGAAATTCATCATCAGTAACAGATAGTTAGATATTATTAGCAATATAAACATGTAGAATAGAAAAAATATACTTCAATACCACACCATATATTCCTTTCTTGAATGGCTAGTTGGTTTAGAGCTAATCTTCATTTTCAGTTCAGTATTTTGTTTCCTAAGATAATTTATTAATTCCCTTGTTTCAGCAAACTTTTTTTTACGATCTTGGTGTATTCTCATAATTTCTTCTTGCCAGGCTACTAAAGTGTTAAATTGTTGTTTCATAGCTATGTTATTCTGTTTCAATGTTTCTTTTAATTTTGTGTTTTCTTGTAACAATTCATTTAATGTCTGATGTACTACTGATGTATCCCATGATGCTATTATAGAATTATAGTCCTGCATGCAAAATTAAATTTACAGAAGAAAATTGGTTAATTTGCTACTGTAGTTGCATAATAGATACATACTATAGCTAAAGACTTTTGTTGGATATCGGTATAAGATGCAATTGATGATTGTTGGATAGAATGTAGAGAGTCTTTGTCTAACACTACAAAAGACAAAGAATCATCTGAATCAACAATATTCAAACCAGATAATGATACTTTGGAAAAGAAAGATGCATCTTCATCCAAATTAAACCTAGCCTTTCCATTGTTTATTAAACAACCAGGACTTTGTAAATGACTTTCCAATTCAATGTATGGTTCCGAGTTAATACTCGATAACTTTGTTGAGTTATCTCGTTGTGGAAATTCTTTCTCTTCATTTGATTTCATAATTCAAATCTTAGCTATATTCGTATTAGTTTCTTGATTTTATCAATTTTATCAAATCATCGATAATGATATTTCTAAAACAGTAGTAACATATTTGGCATTCTATAACTTGAATACAAAATAGAGATAAATATATTTTTAGAAATTACGTCATTAATCAGTACAATATAAAATTTATAAATAACAGTTACTACTATATATTTGAGATATTTTATATATATATAAACAATAAAGCAGATTTAATATCAATGCAAAACATGTAATATCTTTTATATCCATTTCTTACTACATATAGACTTACGAAAATTATTATATTATAAACATGACGTTGTATAAATCCCACAGTTCACTAGCCTATAATAGCGTTATAATGCAATTATTTTCAATTATAAGATGAATAAACGTGAACTGTCAACGAAAAATAATATTTTTTAATCTTATCTTTTATCCACTTTTATTTACGAAAATTAACTTCAAGTTCGAGTTTGAGATTACATTCAGCATAACTATGCACGAATCGTAAGAGACTTAGAATGAATCTATGATTAAGTAAAATGTCGGATCTTTTCGTACCAACAGTATGAGAATTTCACTATCTAGTGTTTATTTCTATTGATTTTCCTATCAATTACGTTTTAACTTTGTTTAATGATAAATTCAAAAAATATTATCAATTTATACATATAAAAAGGAACTGAATAATATTAAAATATCCTGTAAATAAATTATTATAGGTATTTCTATATTCTTTAATTTATAATACAGACTTTTAATACTAATTAAACAGTTGGTAATAATGACTTTATAAATTTTATTCTATAAAAACAAATTAATGTAAATTAATTGAAATGAAAACTATGTTTTATAATATATCGTTATAATATATCTATAATAAATTATAGATACATATTTTGGAATTTAAAATTGTTTTATCTTAGCAAATGTTATGGACACTTATATGTTACATAACTGACGTTATTCGTTAAAAGTACAATCCGTCATGTTACAACGTATTTTCCGATTAGTCATATTACGTTTTATCTTGCAATTACTAAAATAGAATAATTACAATTACTTTAATAGTATTTGAGTAATGAACATTTGTATTTACACAAATAAAATTTTATGCATGATGATATTGCTTCATATCTGTCAGTTCGTTTTTATAAACAAACTTCTCATTTCCATTTTCAACTTTTTGGTATTACTTGAACTAATTGTCATACAAACAGTATACGTAATGCGAGAACATAACTATCGTTAGTTCTTTTTATAAGGATAACATTAAAATATCATAGAATAACAAATTTACAAATCTTGTATTACATATTATGAAATTTTTATTGACAAATTATTATTATTATTTATATTACAAGTGAAACACAAAAAGAACTTGCATTTTGGAGTGTCAAAAAAGAAAATATGTAATTCACATAATATTAAATCTGAATACTGTAAATCGATATAATTATTTGCTAAAACGAATAATTTGTTAATGACTGCAGTAAGTGAAAATAACGAAAGACTTATCCCTTACTAAGAATTACAGTTTTATTTCTTTTTTCAGTTTTATTCTTAAGTGGATACTTTAAATTTGAACATTACATTTTGCATCTTTTTATAACCTTTATTTTGTTAATTATTTTAATAAATTCATCTTCAATAAATTTTTCCATGCTCTGTAGGCAAACTAGGTTATTTATCTTGAAGCTTGCTGCTTACAACTAAATATTTTTTAAATTTAACCATATTTTGGAATACCTATTAAGGCCTTTAGTACGTCGTATAATCATTTTCTAAATCAAACTTTAGAAGTTTATTTGATAAATACAAAAATTCATTACGAAAACCAAGAAAAATAAGATTTATGTTGCTCTATTGATAATGCTACATTGCCTACAGTGGGTTAAAAAGCAAATCGCGAAAATCAATTTTACGACTATGCATCATATATTATTAGATGGTAATATTAAAATTTTATTTATTAAATTTCGAATATATAATTACGAGTACACCGTTAACCTTTACATATAACACAAATTACCGATATTTTGGGTATAATAATTTCCTGTCTCAACGATTCCTTGCTTGTCAACACTCGTTACATTTGTATTACGTCTACGTTACATTTTTATCGACTTAACCAAAATTAATTCTTTTCTATGGACTTTAATTCCCTCGGTATAGAGGTTCTTTTCAATGACAGTTACCCAGTTAATAGATTAAGATTCTCACGATTGCACACGCGCGCTATCTCTTCGTCAACGAGTGTAACAATAAGCGAACGTTTAAGGTTATACGAAGATACATTACCAATTGATTCGCAACTTCTTCCCAACTCTGTGGTTATTCGAGAAGAGAAAAAAATAATAAAAAAAAACGTTAGAGTGCATCAGTTGCCACGAAGGGGTCAATTAATCCCTCGTAATTTAAGGTTTTAATTTACTCCGTTACAAATAACCCACGCTGGGAGTGGGAGAGATAGATTTATGTATTCCGTGCTGCGAGAACCAGTCGACAAATTATCCGCGATAAAGCGTGAAACGCGCGGAAGAAACGACCGGGGCCCGGGAATGGAGCATATTGTTGCAAATTTGCCAATCTAAAGCGAGATTTATTATTCCTGTCCCGTGCAATGCGGAGGCTCGTTATTATCGTCTGTCTATGGACTAGTTTATTTATAGATATTGCGCAAGGGATATCCATTCTGTCGTGACAAGGTATTGCGCAAAGCTTACCGTGCTACTTATATGCGCTTCAGGTTTATCGTTTCAGCGATCGCCTATGCAATGAGCGACCAGTTGTTTCTCCCAATCTATCCGACGTAAACAGAAGTTAAGCTAACTCCTGTTACGAAGGTCGCTCTGTGGTGTCGCTACTCCGGTTACGATCATGATCTTCTCTGTCTCTACGACGGTCTATGATCTTCTCTGTCTCCTCGACGCTCTATGATCTCCTCTGTCCCTTCGACGGTCTATGATCTTCCCTGTCTCTGCGATAGCCTACGATCTTCTCTGTCTCTATCACGACTATGATCTTCTCTGTCTCTGCGACGGCCTATGATCCTCTCCTCTGTCTACGGCTACTATCCACGCCTTTCTACCGCGCGCCGGTTTATCGGGTTGGAAAACTTTTACGAACATATAAAAACGGGATATATATCCTTGTGGGAGTCGCGTATCGGGATCCGTTTATTTCGAATTTTATTGGCCAACCCCGAGCTTGAATGTTCGTACACACCGCGCGTTTAAATCATGAACATGGAAATGGTCCGGTATCGTGGTCGTAGGAAAATAGAAAACGTATAGCCGCCAGTGAATAAATATCTATTACAGAGGGAGTGTGGGCTATCTGGAGGGTATTTTTCAGGCACAAAAATGCTCGGTGGGATGAAACGATCCTTGCGACGGTCGCAGATCGATTTTCGAATGTTGTTTTATTCATTTTCTTAACACTGCAACTACTAAACGAGTCAAAGTGGCTTCTTTCGGATATTTTATTTACGAAATTATCGAGTAGGTTTGGCTGCTTTTGATTTTTATTCATACTAAACTTTGCATGACCGGTGAAATGATCTTGTGGATAAAATGGACGCAGAAGAACCTTAAAGGAATGGGATGAAAGGAGATATTTAAAAATTGATTATATACGCATTAGAAGAAAAATCACTTTAATCGAGCGATCGATAATTTTATTTATCGAGCATTTCTTATTAGAATAACAAATAAGAAATAATTAATAAATCGTTAAAATCCTATTTGTAAATAACGAATACTGTTTTTGTTTGAAAAAAATGATTCGTCATTTAGGAATATCGAATTTGTAAGATATTATTTAAATGAAATTTTATTCGAAGAATTTATTTCGTAAATTTTATCGAAATTAAATTTTGTTCGAAGAATGTATCGATTGTAACACATTTATGGGGTGGATCGAAATATGACGGTCAATTGGAGCTTCTCGTGGTTGAGGACACGAAAACAGGTTTAAGGGAAAATTTAAACGGTGTCATGGCCAACACTAAAATAATCTTTTTCTAAGCCAATCTTTTTTTAGAGCACCTATGCTTACATTCATTCGAGGTTAGAGTATCCTTCAATCTGGTGTACACATGTTCCATGGTTCCGGATTAGGTTAGAAATTTTGTAACCCCAAAGAGGTTAACTTAACCTTTATCCAAAGTTAAACTAATATATGTTTCTTGAATAACCATTTAACTTATTAATTAAGTTATTTCTAGGCGGGTTGCCCATAAGTAGAATTCATGGAATAAAAACAGAAGAAAAAGAAAAGAACAAAAATGAAAAATCGTAAAGAAGTAATAAAAAGAAAATGGTAGTATATATTTATATAAGACGACTACGTGTAATCTACATTTGAAGTGAATCAGTATTTTATCAATAACGTTATTTGCATCATCGATCCTCGACTTTTACGATATAAGATCCTTAAAACTTTTAGAAGTTCCCAACTAACATAATTCACCACGATTTTCGATCAGTCAATAAATAAAAAAGAAAATCTCAACTTTCATTAAATATCGAATTTCGCGATACCTTTGTTTTTACTTGTCGTGTTCATTTACCCCGTATAGAAATAATCCCACCACCCCCGTTCACTTGCAACGAACATTGCCAGGGGAAAAGAATTAAACTATCAGATAACAACTTTTCCAATTAATCTGCGCCGTTGAAAAAGTGTAATAAAGAGCACAAACAGATAACATGCACACATGCACACAGACAAGTCGGCCAACCAACGTTGGCCACGTATAAAACACGATAGTTCGGCTTGTTCTTATCGCGAATAATATATTTCGAATGCACGATACGGCATACGGTCGATGTGTTAACAGTTTAAACCCGATGCTGGCAAATATTACCAGCCTCGATGGGAGAAACTTTCGATAATAACGAACTTGCCGGGTTATCGGTATTATCAACGATGTCGAAGGCGGCCATGCCAGTCAAAAATGCACTTTCCTCGCGAGAAGTTGTATAAAAGTTTATAATCTTTTATAGCCGCGACTCGTCGTGAACGATCCTGAACGGTTACGATCTCGTGCTGGTGAGCGAGAGAGCTGGGTAGAGGGAGCCAGCGAGGGCGGGCATAAACTTAGAAGTCCTAACAACTTCTTGCGCGCTCCCCTTCCGCTGACGGGACGCTTTTGATGAATTAATTGCCCGGGGCAAACTCGTATTTAAATGGAAATAATTCGACGGATTATCGTTGTCCCTCGTCGTTATTACTTTACCGAAGACGATTAAATGTTATTGGATGAGTAATTTGTTTGGTAATCGGTTTTTAAGAGCTGGATGACGACGGCTCGA